CGAAGACGAATAATAGAAGAATCTCCCTAATCTAAACAATGACTAGTCCCTCATCTCGTTGGTTTTTCCACCGAATAAGGAAAACAAAGAGATAAGGCAACTACTGAAGTTTCCTTCTTTCTTATTTCCTAATGCTAGTAAACTACTAGTCACGAAAGGAAAGGCATTGGTTTAGCACATCTTGGAGCCGGATTTGGAAGAATTCTAAAGGCTTCCCACGTGCACGGCATTTTCTCAAGAAAGTCACCCTTTTTAGTACTTTTCTGCTCCACTTCCTATAATTAGGTCCAAATACCAAATATAAGTATATTTCAACAATTAAAACAATATTTGGTAAGGACAAAGAGGAGTAAGGATTAACCCGGACACCCCTGTGTCGACAAAAAAAAAAGAGGAAAATTAACCATAAAATTAATAACAAATTATGCCCTATCGATTCCCCCCACACCTAAACCATACTTGTCCTCAAGCATGAGAACAACAAATCAAACAATCAAATTCAAACAATGGCTATTGCTCAAATCTTCTATTGTCAAGATACAATTAAAACATATATCAAGCATTAGTGATTAAATTTCAAGAAATATCTCTCTGGTTATCTTTCAAAATCAAAGACTTTTTCAATTTTCGACTAACTAATCTAAGAATATAAAATATTCAACTAACATTCATAAGCAAATAGTTTGACTATTAAGCAAAATCTCAACATTAAAATTCATGAATCAACGAGCTAACAATTCATTCAAACATTTCCACATTTTTCACTATTAACACATTTTTTTCTAAAATATCCCCACACTTGATTGATTTTTTTAGGGGAAATGCTTAGTCTTTAGCCATTTAAGTGTTTTGACACGGACTCCGACATTAGCCAAATGAAGGAGCCCGGTTACTCAGCCATTATTGCTTAAAAATCACATACTCATAGCTATCGTCGCTTTTTGACGCGAAAATCGACACTCATGGTGAAGACCTCCTGTTACTAGGCAACGATGCTAGCGGAGTATAGCCAAACATGATTCAAATAAGCATCAAAAATAAAATTAAAGATCACACAAGCCCACTTTATTTCTTAAATATGGAGAACTAAGATTAATAGCTGAACCAATTTGCATAAAAATACTAGACAAATATTTACAATACTTAGAGAAGTTAACCAAAAAATGCAAAGTCACAAAATCTCAAATATTTACCAAAGAGATACCCTTAAATTTAACTATGTCATATTTAACACCCTAGCATATAAAATCTTAGCAATAAAAAAATTTGAGACATCTAACCATCGTTTATCTGGAATACTCACAAATATGCATAAAGATAGGCAAAAATTGGATAAAATTCGACAAAGTCAGACAAAAAATTCCAACAAAAATGCCTACACTTGCACTTTTTCAATATATTATCAATATACTATTCCCCCCGCACCTAAATCTTACATTATCCCCAATGTAAGAGATAAAGAATAGAATATGAAACAAAAAGGACAACGAAACTTCCCTGATAACTGTAGGGGCCATGGACAGTTACGGGTGAGAGGCAAATGATTGTGGAACTCGACGCAAGTTGATGGTTGGCAGCGGTGGAGTTCGAATGGAGAAGGATGGAAGAAAGAAGGAAGAAAGAAAAAGAAAAGAGCAAGAAAATGGAAAAAGAAAAGGAAAAGGAAAAGAAAAGAAAAGAATTTTTTTTTTAGAACTATTGCGCTAGGCGTGGGCACGCCAAGATAGGGAAAAGTAATTTGACCTTAGAAATCGCTTTTCGCAATTTAACGCGTGCCCTCCTCGCATGGGCATGCCAAGATTTGGAAAAATAATCTGATCCTGGGTGACTTTTTTGCAAATTAACGCATGCCCTCCTTGCGTTCCTTGACCTACCTACGTTGCGAACAGTTGAAGTTTTATCAACATGGCCTGGGCACGCCATGTTTTGCAAAAGTTTCCTGACCATGAGGTTGAGGCTTGCAAGATTAACAAGTGCCCTCCTTGCGTGGGCATGCCACGATTACCTGTCCTGTCATAGTGGAGGAAAATATTAAGATCGACTAGTACCCAAATGAGAAGCGACAAATTTAAAGCAATGAACAACGGAAAACAATAAACAAAATCAATATTTGGGTTGCCTCCCAAAAAGTGTCTTTCTTTAACGTCTTTGGTTAGACATTGTCATGTTTGTTCAGGGAGAATAAAATCTTGTGGCTCGTTTCAATGTTTCATTCTCTATATAATATTGATAGCTCTCGTAAATAGAGTAATCCTTGAACACACGAGCTATGGTCTTCTATGGACTAGTAGATGGCACCAAACAAGTCAACAATAATCTGAATTCTCCACTCACTCCTCCATCACGCGCATTTATTGGTCCAAGATATTTTGTCATCGCCACTCTTAACTTATTCCTGTCATGAAATTCAAAATTTTCTGGTATAATAAAATCAATCTCACTAATAGAAATTGAAGAATCAGAGTCAGGAGAATATTGATTAAGGAATGGAGAAAATGTCACCGCATTTGGAGATTATTCACAGGATTCATTCACTTAGACGAGTTGATATTGGGGTTTTATTTCTTGCACTTCAATTTCCTTTTCTACTACATCTTTAGATCCGTTTTCTTGAAACTCTTGCAGTTCCATGTTATTTGTCCGGATAATTGCACTCTCATCTTTTTCAAGGTCGATGTTAGTCTATGAGAGCAATTCTGATATCGATGATGGATGTTGCTGTTGATATTGATGTTGAAAATCGATTGCGTCTGGTGCATAATTAAAGTTGGAGTTGTTCCACCATCTTTGATCATACCCATTTGAATAAGGGTCATGCCACGTTCGAGATTGCAGTGAAAAACCTCCAAACTTATTGAGATAGGCATTCAGGTAATCTTACACATACTGGTTGAATGATCTGTGGCATAACAAATTCCACAAGTTGCATCAACCATTTTGTCTATAAGAAAGCTTAGTGAATCTGAATATTGATCATATCAGAAAAAACACAAGTTTCATTTCCTTTCGTAGGAATAAAATCCAGTCTATCACCAAAATACGAAATGTCAGCGGCCATAAACTAGTAAAAAAAAAGAAATAAGAGAAAAAATTAGAAATAAAAATAAGATGAACTCAAAAAGAAACAAATTGATAGGTGTCGAGCCTGTGCAATAATAATTACCTACATAAGAAAAATACAAAGTTTATATGCAGCGGTGAGTAGGTTCGAATCCACAGGAACTGGGGATAATTCGTTTCTTCCAGAGTCAGAAGTATGGGGGATTTTTGGAGAATATAAAATAACTAGTTAACTAACTAATGAAACAACTAATAGAAATAAACAAGAATTAATCAATAACCAATACGACTCTAGTCAAAGGTGCAACTTTTCAGACACGATTTATTCAACTGATCATCGATGCAAAGATAATCCAATTTCTCATTAATAGATTGGTTATAGCTGTCATACACACGATAAACAACCAACATTTCTATATTTTTTCGATAGTCAAGGTACGACCGTTAACTATTTTTCTAACAAAAAAATAACCCTAGGTACGACCATGGGATTTAATTTCTAGATTGCATTAAAAATTAGAAAAACCCAACCCTAACTAACAAACACGCTACGAGGGTTTGTTTAAATTAGATAATGCGTTTCCCTAACATGGAACCAATCATGCTAGTCGCCACTGATATTAGTCAATTGAATAATTACGGATTGAATCAATTAATCTAGCAGTAGATTTTTAGGTTAATTTGAATATCGGGCCGTTGACATTCAAATAACAAAACAATCATAAGAAGTTAAGCTAGAAAACGTGCAAATACCAATAAATACAAGAAATAAATAAAATAATTTGATCTTACAGATGTTTGGAATCGAGTTTTCAAGTTGACCTTCGACTAGATGAGGAACTTAGCCACACTTCATAGAGAATTTCCACGCGAATTAGTAGAATTTGTGAATATCAAACTTTGTTCTTAAAACAATCTAATATGTTTCACGCAAGAAAAGTAAAGGCACGAAGAAGGAATTATCTCCTGTCTTGCTGCCTCGGGACGAAGATGAATAATGGGAGAATCTCCGTAATCTAAACAATGACTAGTCCCTCATCTCGTTGGTTTTTCCGCCGAATAAGGAAAACAAAGAGATAAGGCAACTATTGAAGTTTCCTTCTTTCTTGTTTCCTAATGCTAGAAAACTACTAGTCACGAAAGGAAAGGCATTGGTTTTGCACATCTTGGAGCTGGATTTGCAAGGATTCTCAAGGCTTCCCACGTGCACAGCATTTTCTTAAGAAAGTCACCCTTTTTAGTACCTTTCTGCTCCACTTCCTGTAATTTGGTCCAAATACCAAATATAAGTATATTTCAACAATTAAAACAATATTTGGCAAGGACAAAGAGGAAAATTAATCATAAAATTAATAACAAATTATGCCCTATCAGAAGAAACTCTCATTTGAAAATCTTACGAGATATTTTATTCACATAAATGAAAAAAAACTATAGAGAGTGCTCCTCATATGAGAAAAAATTAGAAAAATCTGATCTCTCTCCCATAGAAGAGTTGAAGGAGAGATTTACTTAGAAAATCTTTTCTAAAGAAAAGAAAGAGAGAAGGACGATGGCCTAAGATATTTTAGGTCAAAATCTTACTGATATTATAAAAGATGAAGTTGAACAATAAAAAATCACCAATTCACCGCGACAAATGGTTACAATGAGCTCAAATTTATTGAAATATCTTGATTCACTGTGCAATTTGAAAATAAAACAAATCAATTACGATTTTAAGTTCATTATAATATACATCTAAATTTATACTTAGACTTAGGTATGCTAAGTTCTCCTTATAGTTTATTTGTATGTCAATCAATCCAATAACACTGCAAAGAATGAAACTGACAATGAAGTTTGTGCGCAAAATTTACTTTTCTTTTGTTATGATACTAAACCAATATTATGCTAGTTACCCTTAAATTCCTTCAAATGTTATTCGTTCTGCTACATAGGGGTCTTCAAGAGTACTCTATAGAGCTCAAAAGTCTTGCCTTGAAGATTCTCAACCTAATAGCAAAAGTATTAGGAATGAAGCATGAAGAAATTGAAGTGCTTTTAGAAGAAGGGATGCTTTTAGAAGAAGGGTTGCAATCCATGAGGCTCACTTACTATCCTCCATGTCCTCAACCTGAGCTGGTCACAGGCCTCTGCCATCACTCTGATCCTGTTAGCCTCACCATGTTACTCCAAATCAAGGAAAATGACGCTTGGGTTCCTGTTCTTCCACTTCCTAATGCTTTTATAGTCAAGGTTGGTGATATCCTAGAGGTAAGGATTCGCATAAATATAAGGCTTTATTGTGAATTGCCCCATTGACAAGTACATGCTTTTCAATTTGCTCCATCGTTGTTAGTTCTAAGGGTCAGTCACACTCTGCTCTGCGAAGCTTTGGGGGTAGGCACACTTTTGACTTTACTATTGCAAGCCTTAAAATTGTATACTTGGCCCCTTGAAAACTAGTCAAAGATATAAATATTAACGTCATAAGAAAAAAAGTGAGTGTAAGGATGTTAATGCCCTTTCATTTCTGAAATGATTAATAATTTATCATTATTGCCATTTTGTTGCTAAAAATTTTATATCTTCTCTATAGTATCTAATATACAAAAAATCAAATTAATAAAACCAAAAAAAAAGCTTTTTCAATTTAATATCGTTAAAGTCTTTTCAAATTCATGTTGAATTATGTTCTTTTATCTTATACATTGTTTTCAATTTATTGGACTTTAACTCTAATAGTAATAATAAATAATGTAGTAATAAAAAAATAATATAGTAATAACAATAAATAAAGTTGGCAAAATTTTGAAATCATGCTATAATATTAAGCTTGTTACTACTTAACAGCGTAATATTTTATTCTTTTAGTTTATGTAAATTGTTAGAAGAATATTTTTGTTATATTTTGTTTGTCAGATTAGTCAACTATGAATTACTTAGCTAAATTTTTAATAAGGACTAATATATATTACATCTAGACTTAGAGGAGAATAAAAGAGATTAAATTAAAATAAAACACTTTCTTCACCAGTAAAAGGGCATTAATAGTAAACTATATATAATTTCATCAACAAAAGAGCAATATTGTCATAACACTCAATTTTCTTTACAAAGTTAAGATTTCAAACATTGACAAAGGTAAGATTTCAAATATTCACTAGATTTCTAGTGGTGTGAGGTGCATATTTTTAAGGTTTAAGGTGGTAAAGTATGAGTACCTCCAAATCCAAAGCTCAGGGGAACAAAATGGTGAATAAGCTTTGTTTTGATTGGATCTGTCCTCTCCCCAGACTTCCAATATTTACATTTTTTTTTCCAACATTTACCTAATGTGCCACAACACTCCTATAAAAGCCCAAATTGTCATGTGGAATCCACTTACTCTCCAACTACAATTAGCTTACGTAGCAAATTTTTAGTAACTTAGTCATCAGAATCTTTTGTTAAGCTATGACTGATAAAGCTATCAGAACTTCCAGTGTCCACCAATACGTTCACTACCACACTTCTCATAACCTGTTGTAGAGTAATGGTCTTTCTTTTGAGTCCAGAAGACAAAGTATGAAATGACATGCCTACCACAACCCCAAGATTACTAGTAACCTCATCTTGCTTCCCTTGGACATCTACAAACTCAATTTCCTCCTCTTCGTCTTCTGCCATCAGATGCAGCTGCTTCATTTTACTTTGATGTCCTGCTCCAAATTTGTTGGCACACTTGAAACAAAGATTATTATTCCTCTGGTATTGGATGCTGAAATTTTCTATATGATGTTCGGACTAGAATCCTGATTAGCAGAAGCTCCTTTTCAACTCGATAATGAGGGAGTCTATAGCTATTAGTTCCTGTTAGGACTGGGTTAGGAATAAACAAACTAAAGTTAGAACAAAATAGGCGATATAACCGACCATATAATGGTTAGGCGGTAGACACCAGCTATATAATAATGAGGCGATAAAATTGACCATATAAAAGGGTTGTGGCAACCCAATAAAGACAAATAACAAAGCAAAATAAAAGACGCCAAAATTTACATGGTTTGGTCAAATTGACCTACGTTCACGGGCGAGGGAAGAGTAATATTTCTACTATGAAAAAAAAATACAAATGCCGTAAGAAAGCGGTTCCTAGGCCAAAATGACACTTACAAAAGGTTTAGGAAATATTCCTAAATTCAAAACAAGAGAACCTAAAATATTTGACTAAATGAGTTAAATGACCCAAGAAACTAATAGCCCACATAATGCTCTCTTGAGTGGTGCTATTGAAATCTTCATAAGCCTTCTATATTTATAGGTGAATTTGGGAGGCTTTTCTTAGGCTTCTTCTGATGTGGGATAAAATTTTGCCACCAAAGTCAAACCTTGCGGTTCAACAAATCTCCACCTTGGCATAATTTCTAATCCCACTATTAACAATAGCAAAACTGCTCCACCTTCTCCACATAAGTCCCAATGGGCCTAAATCACCAGCAATGAACACCAACCAAGTCCAAGCACTGCTTGAACTTATAAACTGGAAGAAGTTTCGTAAACATGTCAGCAGGACTATCTCTAGCTATGGAATACCCTTCTTCTTCTAAACTATCTTCAACAATAGATTCAAGTGCATCTACTGGCACTTGATGAATAGAAGATTCGGTTTGAGAAGAACCAGAACTGCCAATATCAAGCTCCACCTGTTTCTGTATACTATCAGTAGTACAAGGACTAGAAGACTCATTCTTGGAAGATAACATAGACAATTTATCAAAAGTAACATATCACTGATAACAAATTTTGGAGATTTGGGATCAGGAAACCATAATCTGCATCCTTTCACCCCAAAAGCATACCCAAGAAAAATACACTTTTTAGCCCTAGACTCAAATTTTCTATCATTCACGTGCATGTATGCTGGACACCCAAAAACTTTTAAATTGAAGTAATCATCAAGAGTACCTGACCAAATTTTCTCAGGAGTTTTGAAATCAAAAGATGTAGAAGGAGAATGGTTGACAATATAACAGGCCATATTAATCGCTTCTACCCAAAAGTTGTTTGTCAACCCTGCATTGGAGATCATACATCTTGCTCTCTTCAAAAGCATTTTGTTCATACGTTCGGCCACACCATTTTGTTGAGCCGTCATTCTGACAGTACGATGCCGAACAATTCCTTCATTTTTGCAAAATCTATCAAATTTACCTTCACAAAATTCCATGCCATCATCTGTTCTCAACCACTTAACATGTTTTCCTATTTGTTTCTCAATCAAAACTTTTTATTGTTTGAAAGTTAAGAAAACATCATTTTTATACTTAAAAAAATATACCCAAACTTTCCTTTAATAATCATCAATCAAAATCAACATGTACCTTGCACCACCTTTAAAAGGAGTACGAGAAAAACCCCATAGATCTGAATGAATGTAATCAAGAGTACCTTTTATCTTGTGAATTGCTGGTGAACTAAAGCTGACTTTTTTCTGCTTCCCAAAAATATAGTGTTCATAGAATTTCAATGGCCCGGTACTTTTTTCACAAAGAAGTTCTCTTTTACTCAGTATGTCCAAGCCTTTTTCGCTCATGTGCCCCAAACGCATATGCCATAATTTGGTGGTCTGTATCTGACAAAGATGATGTTGAAACAGCAGCAGCACCTGTAATAGTAGATCCCTGCGAAATATATAATGTACCAGAGTTGTGTGCTTTCATAACAACAAGAGCACCTTGAGTGATTTTGAGAACTTCACCTCCACCAAAATACTTGCACCCAATAGACTCAAGAGTGCTCAAAGAGATGAGATTTTTCTTCAAATCTAGAACATGTCTAACATTTGTGAGTGTCCTTACAATACCATCGTACATTTTAATCCGAATTGTGTCTTTGCCAATTACTTTACAAACTGCGTTGTTACCCATTAAGACAACTCCACCTTCAGTTGATTCATGTGTTGAAAACCAGTCCCTATTAGGACACATATGATATGAACAACTCGAACGTATAATCCACTCATTGTTAGACCTAAAATTATTTTTCGTTGCACAGAAAATGATTCCATTATTCTCATCAACTGCAATACTAGCCTCGGTGGTCTCACTCTTTTTCTTCTTTTGCTTTTCTTTATTTTTCAATTTAAAGCAATCAGAGATAACATAATCCTTCTTTTACAATAATTGCACACCACGTTTTTATGCCTAGACTTGGATCTATTTCTATTTTCTGTATTTCTCTTTTCAAATCTACCCCGAACAAACAAGCCATCGACTTGACTCCCACTAGTTTCCCCAGTAATGCAAATTTATCTGAAATTCCTATCTATCTGCTCTTTAGATTTTAATGCAAATTTAATTTTCCGATACGAAATCATTTCCTTTCCATAAATCATAGTATCACGAAAATGCTTAAAGGACTGGGAAAGGGAACACAAAAGTAATAGAGTCTGATCTTCAAAATTAATTTTCGAATCTTTATTCTCCAAATTCATAATAATGGAATCAAATTTATCAAGGTGGGAGAGTATAGATGTACCTTTAGACATCCGAAACATATACAAACTCTACTTCAAATATAGCCGATTCTCGACTGTTTTCTTCATATACAAGGTTTTTAATTTATCCCATATAGCCTTGGTTGTAGTCTCCATTGCTACCTCATGCAATGCCTCATCAAACAGATTTAACATTATGTTGGATCTGGCCTTTTTATTCATTTCGACGAAATCCGCATCCTTCACAGCTTCTGGCTTTTTCTCTACTCCCTGTAGTGCCAAATCAACTCCGTTTTGAACAAGAATGGTGTGAGGACCCAAAAATTGTCACATTTTCTCAGCATTATTTTATTTCTTTGATTATATTTTATACTTTTCTTGGAAATATTAAATTTTCTATGCATTTTTACAAGTAAATACAGTTTTAAAATCATCTTCCTAGTATGAGTTAGTGTACGTTGAGTTTGAAGTGTATTAGAGACGTGGGACCCGCTAGTGCGGTAAATGCGATATATTTTTGACAACTTGTTGGAGTTTTGTATTAAATGATATTATTTTACAAGATGCTAAGAGATAATTAGAAGTTACCTATATGGATTAGTATTAGAGAGACAAAGAGATAAGGTTTAAGCAAAAGGTGATAAGTGTCACCATTCAATTTACCCTTGGACTTTTGACCAAGATATTTTTACCTTCTTAAAGCTAATTTTAATCAAAACATTTCTTTAGTTTTAGCTCCTTTGGCCAGCCCTCTCAACAAGAAAAGAAAAGAAAGCTCTCAACTTGTTTCCTCCATTTCTTGCCATGATCTCACAAACCAACCGTTAAAACTTGGATTTGCTCC